CACCAACACTGCAAATAAGACATTAAAAGGGGTTGTGTTGGGACATAACTATTTTAGTAAAACCAACACTTTACAGGGAAAGGCACCAAACGCACCTCCAATGTCTTTGAAAAAACGGCCAATCAGATTCAACTACCAAGGTCCGAGAATGTTTTTACTTAGTTCACCCACGCAAAATGACATTTCAGAGCAGGGCTTTCCTCGTGTTTTTTATCAATCAGCTGATGTGGGGATAAACGGCGATACTTCATTGCATAGCCGTGCCTTGACTTCGATTTCATAAAATAACAGCATTGCAGATGGTATGCTCGGTCTGAGGACGGAAGAGTGTTCATTTAAAGAGGTCTATTGAGTGCCTGATGTTTCGGTTAGTTGTTTCGTCTACCAATATTCGGAGAATGTGTTCATGGCTCATGGTTCTCGTTGTATGCCGCTCTTTTTTCGTGTGGGTAGTCTGTCAATCCCGGCTGAGTCGCTGTGTGTGGCTCGCATCTTACCATCGCTGGTTTCTCCGGATGATTCAGTCTCTGAATACCCGAAGCTACCCGAAACGTCAGACATACAATAAACCTCTCCCAGTGAACATTCTTCCTTAATAGCTGGGAACAACATTTTCACCACCATTACTGTATGTTCAGCTTCTGTTGAAGTGGTGTACTAGTAACTACGGATGCAGAACAGGGCCAGACCTCTTATTATGTAGGGAAAGGCTTTTGATCTGCATGAGACAGTCAACACTGAAGAAGAAATCCCTTGTTCTATGGCCTTCTCTAAGTAAGATGAATGTGGAAAGTATATTCGACAAACGTACGTTTTTAGAAATTCATCATAAAAACTTGAAACACTGTTTTTCCGAAAGAAATTTGAACAAGGCAAATATCACAAGATTAGCAGGATTTATTGACGTCATAAAATGTCGTGACCTCTTATTCAACTGCAACGGTCGTTGCCTACTAATAAGATAATTAACTGTCCAATTAAGTTTCAGCCCAGAAGGGTGAAACTTGATAGAAAAAGAGAGTATAAACAATTAGTCTTACTCTTTGTGCCTTTTCAATAGAGCCGTTAGAATCTGTTCTTCCGATACGATCGATGAAGAAATGAGCTTTCTCAAATAAGTGTGTCTTGGAAACAGCTATCCAGAGTAATTCATTGATAAGTATCGAAACCGCAGACAAGAAGATACTCTTGAATTGTCAGTGCCAAAAAAGCAAGTGAGCATTTTCCTCACTTTCAAGGGTGATAATGTCTCCAACGTGATAAAACGAAGGCTTCAATGTACGATTGAAAGAACTTACCCCGCCGCTAAATCGTTGTACATAAGCTCAACGGCGGCTATTCCATTCTGACCGACTAAATATATTCTGCATATGCACGCCATATCAAATTAACTAAATCTGTCAAACCAACTTAATACTATCAAACTGTGTTTACGAGCTTACATGTAGTTGCGGATGCAAATACATCGGGCGCACGCAAAGGCAATTGGCAACGCGGTCAGTTGAACATGCGCCGAAGTGGTTACCTAGGGCGGAACATAAAGTACATAAGAGTA